ATTTAAGTAAAGTAAATTGTGAAAGTTGATGATATTGATTGTAAATAGTAAGGTGTATTGTAAGTGAATTGTGAATTACGGAGTAAATAAAGGACATTAGATAAAATCTTTATAACGAAAGAAACTGCAAATTAAGTTGGCGAGTTTTTATTTAACAATCCAGAGATCGTACCCGAAGGATTTAGAAAATCATCGAGGTTGATTTAGTAAAATCGTAACAATATATATCTTTTCCTACGGGCTGTATCAGGATATCATTAGGCCCAAATGTCTGCCTGCAATAAACAAACCTTCTGTTTAGCGATCTCTGCGCTATCTCTCAAATTTGAAGGTCAAAATAGAAGAACATTGTAACCAGCTCACCAGCATACTAAATTCAGTTTCGGGTGTTAAAAATAAGTTACAAAATTATATTACCGGTAACAGTGAAAATAGGCCTAATAGTGGTTACCTTAATTGCTTTACGAACTGTGGGTACGTGAGAGCCGGCAATAAAAATGGTGGAATAGATTCCACATTTTGCCGCCATATTCTTACATCCAAAACTTTTCTGTATGTAATTCGAGTGGCATGAGCGTGCGTGTTATTAATATTTTCAATTTGTTTTTCGACGTAATATTTAACCGGTCTTAACAAAATATTAACAAAACTTTTTTAACGCTGTGTACCTATGCATTTAATAATTGCTAGCATATTCCCTTCATATAAATCTCATCATTTTCGTTGGTATAAAGTGTATGCACTACGAATAACGCTGTGATTATTAAGACGAAAGTGTTTTCTCTTTTTGGAAAAAGAAGTGTTAAAAAGTCAAGATGTTACAGTCAGATAAACAATAAAAAAAAACCAAAGTTAAAAGTCAATGGTGTCAGCATTGTAAAAAAGCTTAACCAAACAAAATTGATTATTAAATAATACAGTGATTTTTTACCTATGTATAAGTATAAGTATTACTCGGTATGTCCTGCACTTTATATATTAAATCTAAACAGTTCGAATAATATTTATTTATTTAACTTAGGATTATTTGAAAAAATAAACAACTGCTGCAAACATATTGATACAACTTAGCAAAACAAATCTGAAATAGCAAATGTTAATAGTAAAGGCACTTGTTATTTCAGGCTTACTATGCGGGAAATATGTCTTGAAATTAGTAATTGGAGGAAATACATAATTTCTTTGTATTTTTATTGCCACTTCTGTGTGTTCCCTTAATGAAGGTAATTAAAATTTCAGAAGATAAAATGTAATTACTTTTATTGTAAGAAAGTGGACTGAGCTTTAGTTTTCAGCCGCACTTTATATTGCAAGCATACCACAGGAAATTTCGACATGAAACTTTGTAGGAACTGGAATATAAATATGTTATAGATGGATTGACTTAAGCTTCGAACCTAGGGTTTTTTTATGAAATGTTCAGAATTGAAAGAAAATATTAATTTAATCCTGCTCAAGTTTAGAGTTTTAAAGTTTTCAACATTTACAGCTACCCTTTTTATATGCAGAGAGCTTGCTTCTGTTTTACTTATAAACACTATAACAATCATTGGCTAAACAGGCGTTGCTACTTCTTTAAATAATCTAAAAATAATTATATCCAAGCCAATTAAAATAACAGTTTCCCATAAAAGATTGTGCCTAACTTAAGAATACTGTGCAAGGCGGAGCCGGTGTTGATCCGGCCGCGGCAGAAGGCCGCCAACTTACAAAATGTTTCGGGTCGTATCAGGATATCGTTAGGAGCAATTGTCTAACTGCTATGAACCAACATTCTGTTTTGCAATCCCTGCACTGTCTTTCAAATTTGATTGTCAAAGTAGAAGCCGGGAAAATTTGCTTTGTAACAACAAATGATATGCAAACATATATATGAATATCGTCCTTTTTATTTAACCAATTGGCAAATGTAATTTGAATTGGAAAAAAAAAGTAAAGTAAAATAAGAATTTCGCATAAAATATTGAGTTTTACTTAAAAATACTGAGCAAGGTGAAGCCGGTGTTAAACCGGCCCAGGATTACTATCCACAACGCGGCAGAAAGTCGCCAACTTACAAAGTAGTTTCACTTAAGAATACTGTGCAAGCCTAATCCGGTGTTGGTCCTGTACAGGGTTATTATTTTTAAATACGGCCGAAGGCCCCTAACTACCAAAAGCTTCATTTAAGAAGACTGTGCAAGGCGAAACCGGTGTTGGACCGACTCAGTGATAAATGGAATAAGATTTTTCATTTTCAAACAATAATTTATACAACATTTTTATATTATTTTTATAAATTTCCCCAAAGTGGTATCAAAAGAAAGGGGTGAGCTCTCACAGATCACTTGCTTTGTTGTGCAAGTGATCGGAGAAAGCAAAGTTAACCACCTCCCGGCAAATTGCCTTGTTTCCATCAACGTTTCTTCTTATTTCCACTCGGACTTTGTCCAGCAAAAGAATGTCACTACCGCAATATTCCCCGAAACCCGATTCGGGGAAAATTTTTAGGATACCATAACAAAAACCACGTATTTTCCACAGTTGCTACCGGCAATTTCAGTCGTATGCGGAGTGAAGGAATCCTATAATCGAATGTGGCTCCTGAGGATTTTTCTGGTTATAGTTTCTATTGTCTTGCAGTAAAGAAGAGGGAAAGGTCGTCAAGACAGCAGTTCACTTTTGAACAATATAGAAATAGAAGTCATCAATATCAAGAAGTTCGTTCGGGGGTTTTTTTTTTATTGATTTTTAGGGAAAATATGCGACATTTCGTTCGTAAACTTGTTGCCAACGAAATGGAAACTTAAATATACCTCTCTCGCAGAAGGCTGCGTCCCTATTAGCAAAAAACCCTGACAGCCAATTTTCATTGAGGCCAACTTCTCACCACTAAGCGCGTTCGCCATGGACAGGAAAAGATGATAATCACTAGGTGCCAGGTCCGGACAATAAAGTGGGTGCATTAGGACCTCCCATCCGAGCTCTTGGAGCTTCTGCGCGTCATCAAAGACGTGGTTGGAATTGAGCGTTTGGCCATAGGCCGAAGCCATTATTAGTCCGGTTCAGGGTTACAACCTAAAATGCGGCCAAAGGCCGCTAACATACAAAGGAGTTTCACTTGAGAATACTGTGCAAGGCGAAACCGGTGAAATGTCAAAGGGTATCAAAAGAAAGGGTTGAGGTCACAGATTACTTGCTTTGCTGTGCAAGTGATCGGAGAAAGCAAAGTTGGCTACGTCCCGGCAAATTGCCTTGTAAGATGCCATCAACGTTTTTTCTTATTTTCCTCAGTCCCCTTTTGATTAAGAGGTCAAGAATTTATCCGAGGTAAAGCATGCCTGTCACGCGAACCACTACAATAACAACATGCCTGTCACAAGAGGCGACAGATGGGAATGATACCGGAACGACCCCGATTTTGTCCAGCAAATTACTGTCACTAGCGCAATGTTCCCCGAAGCCCCAGATAAAGTTGAATTAATTAGAGAGTATTGAACAATCCGCTGAGATTGACTTCGTTGATAATAAAAAAGATAAGATATGTAATTAGATTACACTTTGGAAAGGAAACGTAGATGTTTAATCAAATATAAAAATATATAAAAAGAAGTAGATAAATAAAAGCAGAGTCTACCTTTACACAAACATATCGGAATAAAGAAAAAAATGAAGAAAAAACAAATGTAAAAAAAAAAATTCTTGAACATAGTATCTCTGTGTGAGCGTGAAGAGCGTCACAAAAAAGAAAAATACGAAACTCAGTCTTTGCATTGCGGCCAAAGTTTCCTACTTTACAAAGGATAATGGATATTATGTAACATTTGTTTATTCCTTCCGTCGTTATATAATCACATGATTGAGGGGTGTTAACACACTTTTCATTGAGTTCTTTAACAAAACATCGGTGAAAAAGCGATAAGTAGACGTGTTGTGACTTTTTATATCGCGGCAGTTGTATTTGATATTTAAAATAAAAACACACCTGTTAGATCATATAAATGAATGCTTAAAATTAACTGTAATCCTGTTATACAACTGTCTTATAATAAACGTTCAGCTTTTATTTATAGCAAGAACAACTTAAAATCTGACCTAACTTTACAGTTAGGTCACCTCAAAGTTAACAATTTGCAAAGGGTACATATGTATACATATGAAGAAGAATATATGACGAAAAGGAATGCGAGTAATGAAGCGATAACTAGGAATACTTTGTATGTACATATCGAATACATAGTGAGCAGGGTGATCTGATTCTATTATTTTATATATATATATATACAATATATATATACAATACATAGGTCGGTAACACTCCCTCGCCTGTAAGCAAGTTATGGATTACGTGTTTACTTCTCTTTCAGTTCCGACGTCCAAAACTGCAATCTTGACAACAGTTCTATGAATTACACCGGAAACTGGTTGGCAAATTTTTGGGTCAGACGAAAACGTTTTCTTAAATTGCAGCTATCGGTAGAAATTTGCTTATATCTATCGGATGACCCAGGTATCAGATGATTTGGAGTAAGCGCTTCATCGTCGCAGCTGTCCAAGGATACATATGTAAGTGGCAGCGCATTTATAATGAATCCCACTTGATGCAGGGCGCTTTATAGGCTCTCATGGCTACAACTCGCGGACGGAAGTATCTCATAAAGTACGATCTTAACCGACCTTATTAGTCGCTCCCACACTCCTCCCATTTGAGGTGTCCTTGGTGGGTTGAATTTCCATTTTATTTGATCAAAGGAAGAAAATTAATATTCCTTGAACAAATTATCTTATCCGACGCCTTAAAGTTAGTGCCGTTGTCGGAAAAAATTTATTTCGGGTAACCGCGTCATGAAACGAAGTTTGTTATTGCTATTATACACGAACTTGTATCCATACTATGCGCAATCCCTATGTGCACTGCTCGAAGAATCAGGCACGTCCCATCTTTTCTCACGTCTTCCAACAATAACCATTATATAATAACCGAAATAGTCTATTCCGACATACGTGAACTGTTTTTCAAAAGCGGCAAGCCTTAGTGGGGCCATTTGTAGTGCTTGTGGCGCTAGTGGTGCTACAACGGCGTTTTTTTTTTTTTTTACATTTTTGGCAACTTTGACGAACTTTGCGGTATAAAACTATAAGCCGACCGCTGTGGTATTGTGCACGAAATAGATTAATTATTGTCTCGTGCATCTGATGATAAAATCGTTCATGAGTCCAGCGCACTATTAAAAAGGTAATGTAATGCTTGTTGGGCAAAACTATGATATCTTCGTGACTATTTAAAAACTCAGCACGGCCCTTGCTCCTGATAATGTCATCTTTGTCTAAATAAACCTTTGTCGTCATAAATTTGCTGGACTTTTCGATAGGCTTACCGAGTTTTAATAAGTTTATTTCAGTATCTATTTTCGAGTCCTGAGGTTTTTGGCTTGTTACTTGCTATGAACGGACGCAATCGGTCGATTTATAGAAATAAATTGCTGCAGCTCGGTAAAGGCGTTTCCAATCGTAAAAGTATTCAATATGTAGTATCGGATATGTCATTGCCTTTTTTGCAGCTTGTAAAACATATTACTTCGTTTCTGCTGCATCGATTTCATCTTATTTGAGCCAATCAAATTTCGGCCATTCGTTTGAGTTTAACGTCAAAAACTCTTGTCCGTTGAACCACGGTTAATAGTTACACTTTTTGTGAACTTTCCTACCTAAGTCCGCAAGATTAAGGTTCGAGGGCACACATTGTCATTGCTCTATGTTCGATGCCTCCAGAATTTCTCCCACTCGATGCATTACATATGGATTGGATGAAAGTTTCTCGGGTCCATGCGAATGCATCGCAAGACTGTTTGGAGTCAGACCACCACAATCTCGAAGTTATGGCAATACGATGCACGTTACTCACCTTGCTAGCTATCCGAGCACCATTCACCGCAGCTTGCAACTCTAACCTGAGAATTGTTCCTAGTTTGAGTGGCGCAACTTTTGATTTTGCAGCCACTAGAGACACTGTGAAGTCGTTTAAGTTTTTCACTCGTAAATAGTAAACGGCTGCGTAGCCACTCGCTCCAGCTTCGACAAAGGTATGAAGTTGGACTTCACTCGCATCTCTAAACATAATACATTTCTATTGGCACCATTTTTAATAAAGGTTGCATTTCAACGGCTCATCCCAAATAATACCCGCGCCCCATACGTCCTGTAATATAATATTTAAACCGATGGTAAAGCAACAATGGATCGAATATGGCCATTAGTACTTGAAGAAGCTCTCTCTTAGTCGGTATAAAGGGTTAATTGATCATGTCACGACGGAGTCTTGTAAACCGCCAAATATATGTGAAACTGTCACATGTGAGATACCAAAATATTCCAAGCACTTTCGTTGTAGAGCCCCATTATTTATAAACTTGAACCGGTGGACTATTTTCTTCGAACTGTTCTACAAGGGTCATTGAATTTGATGACCAACCACGAATGTTGAATCCAGCGTTTTAGTGAATTTTATCGAACTTGTCGAGCCAAAGCCAAATCGGATTCTTCATTGTCAGTGTTGTCAATGTAATCATCTACATAATTATATTTCTTTATTGCTTCCTCTGCGCTAGGAAATTCAAGGATAAAATGCGCTATACATGGGGCGCAGTTTAAACCGAATGTTATTGCCTTCATAACATAAACACTCGGTTGCTGACTGCCTTCATCATACCACAGAATATCTGGACATGCATGTCTGTTTCTCGGACGTTAATTTGGTGGAACATCTCCGCTATATCACCGCATATCGCAACTCTGCCGACTCTAAAACATAAAAAAATCTCAAGGACAGAATTCAGCAAGTCTGTACCACTTAACAAAAAGTCGTTCAGTCAAACTCCATTCACTTTCCCGGCTACATCCCACACCATGCGTACTTTTCTAGGTTTGCTTGGATTGTGCACTAAAAATGGGTGTACCTTGCGTATCCTTTGGCAAGCAAATTATCGATTTGTTCTTGTATGGTAGCTTTAAGATTGGGCTTTTTGTTAAATTTTCTTCGTAAGCACTTCAATCGTTGGTGCGCGTAAGAATAGCTATCTAGTAGGCCGATTCCAAAGCGATTTTCAATTTTTCGATATGTGTTATTTATAATACCTACAGCCATTGTGTTATATTTTGACATAATCGACTCTCACGACCGCCGGTTGTACGCACCGGAGTTGACCCGGATTTTATTCGGCCAAGGGCTATCACCCTTTCGGCGACCTAACCCCGTTTAGGTCTGCAGGTAACTTTAGTCTAAGTTCGCCAATGGAGTAACACCTTGCAGCTGGATTGCTCCAAATCCTTCTGTTGTTGTTGTTGTAGCGGATTCGCTAACCCCGCTTAGGCACAGGCTTGAATTAGTCTAAGTCGTCGAGGTCATCTAAAGGTAGGCCCAGGAAACGAGCTGTTTCGACGGGGTTGGACCAAAGGGAGAGGGGTGTTAGATGAGTAGGTTTGAGGGGGCATGTGAAGAGGTGGTTAGTGTCGTGCGGGGACTCTCCACATGCCGGGCATACGTTAGGTATGCTGGGGTCTAGTCTGGATAGGTAGGAGTTTAACCTACTACAATATCCAGACCTAAGTTGTGTCAGGGTCACGCGGGTCTCTCGAGGCAGCTCGAGCTCGTTGTCTGCTAT